TCAGTTAATCCTGACATTTGGCTTTTAAACACATCCACTGGATCACATCCCTTAGCTGCTTCCCACTCTGTGCTTAGAATAAAACCCCTCCCTGTGTACAGTCCATACTGTGGATGTCTCCACTGCTTTTATTTTTGTTTACTGTGCTCTGCTATACTAGTGCTTATCTTCCCAGAGCACACTGGGCCTGTTTCTGCCTCAGGGCCTTTGCACTTGCTCTTCTCATTGTCTAGAATGGCCTTTCCTCAGCTCTTCTGACTGTTTCCTTCTCATCTCTTAAGCTCAAATTGGGAGAGGTTTGCCCTAACAACCCTAGCTATAGTAGCCACCACCCTGCAGACATGCTATGTGGTTTGTGTCCCCATTATCCGAAATAATCATTGTCTGCAGTTCTTGTGAGTCTAAGAGGATGAGCAGAATTTTTCCTCTTTACCAGAATTGCAGGCTAGGCCTAAAGATGAGGACAAAAACACATAGTACAGTTGACCCTTGAACAACATGGGAATTAGAGGGCCTTCCTGAAGAGAGATCAGGGATCCCCTTTGCAGTTGAAATACACATACAACTTATTTTTTTCAGATAGAATGGGAGGAAGGGGTAGAGAGAGAGAAACACCGATGTAAGAAAGAGACATCGATTGGTTGCCTCTTGCACAACCCCAACCAGGGCCAGGGACAAACTGCAACTGAGGTACGTCCCTTAGTGGGAACTGAACTGGGGACTCTCTGGTCCGCGGGCCGACACTCCCACCGCTGAGCCAAACCGGCCAGGGCTATATACTGTATTCTTGCAATAAAGTAAGCTAGAGAAAAGAAAATACTAAGAAAATCATAATAGTCCTGGCCAGTGTGGTTCAGTGGTTAGAGGGTCAGCCCGCACACTAAAGGGTCATGGGTTTGATCCCTGGTCCCTGTCCGGGCGAGTGTGGTAGGCAGCCAGTTGATGTGTCTTTCTCACATCAGTGTTTCTCTCTCTCTCTCCCTCTCCCTCTCTCGCTCTCGCTCTCGCTCTCGCTCTCCCCATCTTTCCCTCCCTCTCCCTCCCTTCCACTTCCTTTAAAAATCAATGGGAGCCCTGGCCGGTTTGGCTCAGCGGTTGGAGCATCCGCCTGCGGTCTGGAGAGACCTGGGTTCGGTTCCTGCTAAGGGCATGTACCTCGGTTGCAGTTTGTCCCCGGCCCTGGTTGGTCGTGCGGGTGGCGGCCACTCGATGTGTCCCTTTCACATCGATGTTTCCCTCTCTCTCTCTTCCTCTCTTTCCCTCCCACTCTATCTGTACAAAGGATGGAAAAATGTCCTCGGGTGAGGATAAAAAATAAATAAATAAATAAATAAATAAATAAATAAATAAATAAAAATCAATGGGAAAATATCCTTGGGTAAGGATTAACAAAAAAAAAAAAGAGAGCCCTGGCTGGTTTGGCTCAGCAATTGGAGTGTCTGCCTGTGGACCAGAGAGTTCTGGGTTCGGTTCCTGCTAGGGGCACGTACCAAATAAAAAAAGAAAGAAAGAAATATACTTACAGTATTGAAAAAATATCCTTAGCCCTGGCCAGTTTGGCTCAGTGGTTGGAGCATCGACCTACGGACCAGAGAGTCCCGGGTTTGGTTCCCCCTAGGGGCACGTACCAAAAAAAAAAAGAGAGAGAGAGAGAGAGAAAAAAAATCCTTGTATAAGTGGAACTGTGCAGTTCAAATCTATGTTGTTCAAAAGAGTCAGCTGTACTTCCTACATTCCAAATTCAGGAAGCTGCAGGCAGTTGGGGTCAGCCCCTTCCCAGTTCAGAGAACCAGCCCTGCCCCCACCCCATTCCTCTGCAATGATTGGCGGGGGTGGCCTTTAGGTGAGTGCAGTGTTTATGGTGAGAAACCATTCCCTCCCTCCCACTCTGAGTCCAGGCAAAGTGCACCTGTTGGCAGGGCCCTGCTGGCTGCCTGCCCTGGACTGCCTGAACAGAGGTGAGTGGAAGTGAGAAAATGGGATGTCACCCACATCCCAGCCAGTGAGCCCCAAGTAAGAGCTCAGCCCTTAGGTGTTTCACAGGGACTAGTGACGGTGAGGCGGATTGTATTTGTCAGCTCTGTTTTACAATTACAGACAGGCACCTGTCTTTCTGGGAAGAGCCATGGCTTGTTTGAGGTTCCAGCAAACAAGTGGTGGAGCTAGACTTTGAAGCCAGGCCTTGAAACTGGATTGTTTCCCACATTTGCTTCTGCCTCCCTTCTCTCCCTTGACCTTTGTCAGGAGCTGGGAGACTATGGAGAACAGGTGAAGCTTGTTTTGTGGGGGGAGACCAGGTGGTGTAGATAGTGTTGTATGATGGCTGCACACTGAAGGTAGAATAGCAGGGAGAGAGCATCACTTCAACTCTAAAACTTACCTCCAGAGTGTGAGTATCCAACTAGATGATTTTATGTTTTTGATCTGTTTCTCGCCTCCTGACTTCCCCTTCCCAGTAGCCAGCCTTAACAATATAACTTAGCTGTGAACGTGTGTGTAAATGTAAGCAAAGAATTTAGGATATAATATGTGAGCAGTGGTTGATTATCTTAAGTGAAGAGGGAGTAGGAATGAAGGGATAACATAAACAGAACTTTACATTTTTACACTGTAATTGTGTATTCTTTTACTTTTATGTGATTATGCATTTGTGTAAAAAGGAACCTAAAACCATCCTGGACCTGGTTTTATAGATGCCTAAGAGAGTCACTGTAAGCCTGTTTGCCCAGCCCCAGAAACACCATGCTCTATTTTTGGATGGAGGCTTGGGGAGGAGGCCTGTGGGGGTCCAGGATGCTCCTTCAGGGTCTCCTGTATGTGTTCTTGCCTCAGAGTCCCTTTGAATCCAACGTGTCTCTGGGCAGCTTGCTGCAACAAACAAAACTGTGGGTCCTGTCTGAAGGAACTTTGCAAGGTACGATAATCACTTTTGGAGTTTCCAGTTTAATATTCAACCTGAATAAGAGGCCAGTTGAGTGAGGGTTGGTGCTGTCCTGCTCTGCTCTTGTTCTGTTTATAAACATGTTTATTGCCGTGATAAGGAGCTGGTTCTTTTCACACAAATAGAATGGGCCTGGGGTCCCTCCAGAGCTTAGTGGCCTCAGAGCCTAGAATGAAGGATTTAAATGCTTGTATGTAGTTTGCATATGGAAAACTGTGGAGTGCAGCCTGGGCATGGCCGTGGGTGTATGAGTGGGCCTGTTGGCCTGGTCTTCATAACCTGGGGAAGAAGGGAATCTTTACTGTCTTCCCTCCCAGAACAGAGCAAACAAATCAGCCCCAGTTTGGGTTTCTTTTCTTCTGAGGAAGAAGATCCTAGCACTGGCAGCAGGCCTGATTCTGCTGTGGGCAAGGCTTTTCCAGTGGGATATACTAACTGAATGTTGTCAGGAAAACTTACTTTAATTAATGTTTTCTCTGGGGAAGCCCCTATAAATACAGTATCAATGGATATACTATATATCCAAAGGAACTGGAAGCAGGGACTTGAACAGATACTTGTACATTCATGCTCACAACAGTACTATTTACATTGCCAAAATGGGAAAACAACCCAAATGTCCATCAACAGGTGAATGAATAAACAAATTGTGTTCTATTCATTTAATGGAATTTTATTTAGCCATTAAAAAGGAATGAAATTCTGATAAATATGGAGGAGGGGCAAGGATGAATAGGTAGAGCACAAAGGATTTTTAGGGCAGTGAAAATACTCCATATGATACTGTAATAAGAATACATGTCATTTTACATTTGTCCAGATATATAGAGTGTATGACACCTGGAGTAAATCTTCATTAATCTGTAGATTTTGGGTGATTATGATGTGTCAGTGTAGGTTCATCAATTATAACAAATGTACTACTCATAGTGGGGGATGTTGATAATGGAGGAGGCTATACATGTGTGGGGACAAGGGGTATATGGTAAATCTCTGTATCTTCCTTTCAATTTTGCTATGAACCTAAAACTGCTTTAAAAAATAAAGTATTGGCCCTGGCCAGTTTGGCTCAGCAGTTAGAGCATCGGCCCACGGACTGGAGAGTCCTGGGTTCGATTCCCACTAAGGGCACGTACCTCGGTTGCAGTTTGTCCCCAGCCCCGGTTGGGGTTGTGTGGATGGCAACCACTCGATGTGTCTCTCTCACATTGATGTTTTTCTTTCTCTCTTCCTCCCTCTCTCCCTTCCGCTCTATCTGAAGATAAATGCAAAAATGTCCTCAGGTGAGAATAAAAAATAAATAAATAAATAAATAAATAAATAAATAAATAAATAAATAAAGTATTGCCCTGGCTGGTCTGGCTCAGCAGTTGGCCCACAGACCAAAGGGTGAGTGTTCGATTCCTGGTCAAAGGCACATTCTTGGGTTGCAGGTTCGATCCCTGGCCCCGGTTGGGGTTGTGTGGGAAGCAACCAATTGATGTGTCTCTCTCACATCTCTCTCTCTCTCTTCCCCTCCCTCCCTTCCATTCTATCTAAAAAGCAATGGAAAAATATCCTCAGGTAAGGATTAACAAAAAACAAAAATAAAGTGTTAAATTAAAAAATTTTTTGATGTATGCTATAAACATATGAACCTTAAGGATATTATCAGTGAAATAAGCTGACACAAAATGACCAGTATTGTATGATTCCACTAACATGAGGTATGTAGAACAGTCAAATTCTTAGAGACAGAAAGTACATTGGTGGTTTCTAGGGGAAGTGGGGACAAGGAGTGAACGTTTAATGGACACAGAGCTTCAGTTTGGAAAGATGAAAAAGTTTTGGAGATGGATAGTGGTGATGTTGCACAAACAACAGTGTGAATGTACTTAAGGCCACTGAACTGTACACTTGCAAATGGTTAAAATGGTAAATTTTTTATGTATGTTTTACTACCAAAAAAAAGTACCAAAGTGCTTTCCTAAGATATCTACTCACAATACAGATTTTACACTATAATTCTTTACTTTCCACTCATTGTTCTTAAGATATTTTTTGCTTTTTATATTTTCAGATGAATGTTCCAGATTCAAGAGAAACTAGAATGATCTGGTCACTTACCAAAACTCACTGAAGCAAACCCTTGTGACATCTCCAGTTTTACCATAACAGGGAGAAAGGTTAGTCTGAGGTGCATGGGCAGACTATTGTAAAGGCAAAGGACAGTAGCCTTTAGCAAAAATAGATGTTAAATTATGGTATCCCCAACAATAGACTTCTGTCTTGCTGTCCACGTACAGTAACCTATCAGGCAGAGAGTCTCACATAGCACATTTTACCCATTTTTTAATGTCTGCCTGAGTTTCAACAGTTGCCCCAAAAGGAGAGATAGTGCCAAATCCCCCACTACTTCTGGTTCATTTGGATGTAAAAATGTCTAATTTTGAAGCTTCATTTATTTCCCAGCCCTTGTGTCTACTCCCTACCAGTATTTCTCCTCTGGAGTACCTGCCTGAAACCTAGCTGGCATTTTTAGAAAGTTAGGAGCTGGCTTCTGAATTCTAACCTTAAGACAGTGGGGCAGAGTAGGTGTGTGTCTTCCTCAATATACACAGCTGATTAAAGGCCTGAAGCCTTCAAGAACTGAAACAAAGCATCTCTTGACTTAAATAGGTCCTCTTTTTTTTTTTTTTTTTTAATCCTCACCCGAGGACATTTTTCCATTTTTTGTTCAGATAGAGTGGGGAGAGAGAGAGAGAGAGAGAGAGGAAGAGAGAAAGAGAAACATCGACGTGAAAGGGACACATCGAGTGGCTGCCACCCGCACGACCCAACCAGGGCCGGGGACAAACTGCAACCGAGGTACATGCCCTTAGCGGGAACCGAACCCGGGTCTCTCTGGACCACAGGCCGACGCTCTACCGCTGAGCCAAACTGGCCAGGGCTAAATAGGTCCTCTTAACTAGTAGATTCTTTTCATAAGGCCCACGGGCCGCAGGATGGTGGTGTGTGGGAGCCTGCTTGGCCTTCCACCCCCTGAGAGTTATTTTCAGCAGAGTTCTCTCTTTCTCAAAACCCTTCTGGGAATTCATTTCTAGCCTCTCGATATTCATAACCTGTGTGAACTATTAAAGTAACTTTATTTATTTATTTATTTAGTGCATGCCTCTAGCGGGAACCGAACCCGGGACTCTCTGGTCTGCAGGCCAACGCTCCAACTGCTGAGCCAAACCGGCCAGGGCTAAAGTAACTTTATAAACTCTATGAAAAGTTATATCCCAGAGTTCATAGTGAATTCTCAGAAGAGCCACTTATCTTAAATGGAAGCCCTTGTACTACTTTATAAAAAGAGTCAAACGAAAACATATTCTATAAAATATGAACCTTTATACATGCATATTAAGCATGGTTTTTAATCCTACAGGATATGGGGTGGCAAACAGGTTAGCAGAAAAGCCTTTGAGAAGTGGCTGGAGGATATAGTTGCTCTTTGCCCCCTTCTGGCAGCCCAGGGCCCTCCTTTCAGGTGCGGCCTACACTATGGACTCCCAGGGGTACAACTGCTTTGTGGATAGAGACAAGATGGACACTGCTATCCAGGACTTGGGACCTAAGGAACTGAACTGCACCGAGCTGCAAGAGCTGAAGCAGCTGGCACGCCAGGGTTACTGGGCCCACAGCCATGCTCTGCGGGGGAAGGTGTATCAGCGTCTGATCCGGGACATCCCGTGCCGCACGGTCACACCTGATGCCAGCGTGTACAGCGACATTGTGGGCAAGATTGTGGGCAAGCACAGCAGCACCAGCCTGCCCCTGCCTGAGTTTGTGGACAATACACAGGTGCCCAGCTACTGCCTGAACACACGGGGCGAGGGTGCTGTTCGGAAGATTCTGTTGTGCATTGCCAACCAGTTTCCTGACATCTCCTTCTGCCCTGCCCTTCCTGCAGTCGTAGCCCTGCTGCTGCACTACAGCATTGATGAAGCTGAGTGCTTTGAGAAGGCCTGTCGAATCTTGGCCTGCAATGACCCCAGCAAGAAGCTAATTGACCAGAGTTTTCTGGCCTTTGAGTCTTCCTGCATGACGTTTGGGGACCTGGTGAACAAGTACTGCCAGGCAGCCCACAAGCTGATGGTGGCCGTGTCAGAGGATGTCCTGCAGGTCTATGCAGACTGGCAACGCTGGCTATTTGGGGAGCTTCCCCTCAACTACTTCGCTCGTGTCTTTGATGTCTTTCTGGTGGAAGGTTACAAGGTGTTGTACCGTGTTGCACTGGCAATCCTCAAGTTCTTCCACAAGGTGAGAGCTGGACAGCCACTTGATTCAGACAACGTGAAGCAGGACATCCGCACCTTCGTCCATGACATCGCCAAGACCGTGTCTCCTGAAAAGCTGCTGGAGAAAGCATTCGCCATCCGCCTTTTCTCTCGGAAGGAGATTCAGCTCCTGCAGATGGCCAATGAGAAAGCTCTGAAGCAGAAGGGTATCACGGTCAAGCAGAAAAGGTAGGCTGGCCTCTGGGCAGGCTGCCAGGGGCCCATTTAGGGTAGGGCTTTGGTGGAACACATCCTGGGGACTTGAGGCATGAGCTTGTCCTGCCAGCCTCTTGGTCTGCCTACTGCCAGCCAGCCATCTGTGCGTGGATAGGAAATGACGGGAAAGGAGAAAGGGTTTTCCTGGTTACAGCCACAGGCTGCTGAGGCAACTGTGGGAATGGAAGGTGCAGGTTACTATGCTCAGGCCTGAGGCCCATGGCAGAGACAAAAGCTTGGTGTTGACCATGCAGTCAGAAGATCAGAGAATGGGCCAGGCTGGCTGCCTCTGGTCATTTCACAGCAGTCTCTTCTGTCCCTCCAGTTCTGGGCTCCCTTGCTGCTGGGCATGGCCCACCTGCCCCTGGGGAGTAGGGGTGGGAAGGACCCATGGTGTCTTGAGACTGTCTTGGTGGCAGACAACGTAGCTGTAGATGTGAAGGCCTTTCTTCCAGGCCAAAGGCAAGACATGTCCTGGGCATCAGTACTTACCACTAACCTCTCCTTGTCTGTTTTATTTTTCTTCTTCTCCATGTTCGTTGCTTCCTCCTGTTTTTCAGTGTTTCACTTTCTAAAAGGTAGGTCTGGAAACCACATCTCCATGCCTGGATTCTCTCTGTCTTCTGGCCTGGCTGTCCTGGGGCCTGGCTGCTTGTGTTGGCTTTCGGGGCTTGCTTCAGCATTGCCTCCTTGGAGCCTGGCTGATGTTCAGGCACCATCTGTTTGTCCTTCTGTCTGTCTGTCTGCTCAGTTCCTCTCTTCTGGTGCTTGGCTGGCCCTGAAGCATTATCTTGCCAGAGCTGACTCACTTTCTGTCCCCATTCCTTAGAGTAAAGATGCTTTCGTCCCCATCTGGGCTGTGCAATCTCCCCTCTTAGTAACGGGATGGGAGTTGGGTTCCAGGGGACAGCTCTACCCTGTTTCTCCCTGAGGGTACCTAGGACTAGGCTTTAACCTGGCTGAAGAGGTAAGAAGTTCCCTCCAGGCTTAGCTTCTAAGAGAACCAATGCACACCCCCAGTTTGGGGGTTATGATCAGGGCTGGGGTTGCAAGTGTGCACTGAATCTCTCCTGGCTCTCCCCAGGCAGTTTGTGCACCTGGCTGTCCATGCGGAGAACTTCCATTCGGAGATTGTCAGTGTGAAGGAGATGCGAGATATCTGGTCGTGGATCCCTGAGCGATTCGCCCTCTGTCAGCCCCTCCTGCTCTTTTCCTCCCTGCAACATGGGTACAGCCTGACCAGGTAATGCCAGGGAGGCTGGGGAGGCTGGGCCTGCCCTCCAAGGCCCTGAGGCATAGACTCTGAGCATCAGGTGTTGCAGGAGGGGCAGAGGGAGCAGTGAAGTTGCCCAGCTTCTGGTCCTGTCTGTGCTTCCAAGAAGTCACACTGGAAATGGGCCTGTGAACCTGAGCACCTGGGTGAGGCCTGCCTCTTCCTGGGGGCCCTAGAATTGGGAAGCTCTTTTCTGGGCTTCTCTCACTCCTAGGCCACCAAAACTCAGGGGTCATTGCCATACACGCCATAGGTCCAGGTCCTCATGTAGGCATAGTAATGACATGGGAGCTTACAGAACTATAAGAGAGGACAACTCAAGGCAACGGGCTGTGATTCAGTACTCCTCATCCCCCACTTCGTCATTCCACAAGCTAGGAATAAGTTGGCCCTGTGGGGTTGGGGCTGTGCTGGCCTCCCCAGGGCACACTGTCTCCCTGGCAGCTCTGTCAGGGTATCAGGTTCAGCACCCCACTTGAGCCTCATATACTCTGGCTTGGGTCACAGGTGACCCGGCAGAGGCAACACAGGCAGAGTTGGCCCAGCTCACCCGGTGGTGACCGTCTGCAGCCCCACGAGCATTATGGTGTAGTTGGAGCAACATTCACCGAGCTCCAACCTCTGTGTGACATGGGAGGCCCACTGAGGGACAGCTAAATGGAGCTACCAGGGCCACCAGCCAAGCCCCTGGGTACCTGGAGCCACCACAAGGGCAACCTCAGTCCTCATATGCTACCTAATGCCAACAGGCTCCCACGTGCTTGGACACTGAGCTTTCCTAGAGCAGGGACCTGTTCCTCTTGCTTTTGCTTCCCTGAAGCACTTGGCACACAGCTCTGTCTGCTGGGGGCTCTTTGCCATGCCACTTCTCCCCCGCTTCACACCAGGGTGGGCAGACAGTCCTGGGGCAGCTGACTGCTCAGCCTACAGCCCACCTAGGGGGGACTCCATCTTGGCTTAGAAGAGTGTCTAGTCCAGAGTGTTGCCTGGTCCCCAGGAGAGCAGGAAATGTAGTTCCAAGGCTCATCCACCCTTAGCAGCTCAGGTTTCTCAGACCCTGTGGGCGCTGGTCAGCAGAGGCTGTCTAGAGTTGGTACGAGGAAGGGGTGCAGGATAACTGCTTCCCATGAGGACTGGCATGTATGGTCTCTTCCCCCAGGTTCTATTTCCAATGTGAAGGACACGAGCCCACCCTCCTGCTCATTAAGACCACACAAAAGGAGGTGAGCAGGGACCAGAGGGAGCCTGGGGTCCTGGCCTCTGAATTCTGGGGAGTCTGCTGCTCCTGTGCTCAGGAGGGTTGGATGCCCCTACAGCCTTCACCTAGCCTTCCTGTACTTAGGAACAGAGCCACCCTCCACAAAGAAGTGAATCCAGCCTCCCTGTCTGACCCCCAAGTACCCAGGGCCTCCTTGTTTCCCCTGAGGGTCCAGGCCCTGTGAAACAGCCTGACTACTTAGGAGGAGCATTGCAGAAATGCTTAGTAAGCAAGGCCCTTCCTCCTCCCACCACAGTGGGCCAGCACCAGGTGAGTCAGCTGCCTTTACCTGCCTCCACCCCATAACAGGTAGTTCTCAGGGCCTTTTCCTCTGCAGTACCTGTTTCCTGGAAGGTCCCCCGAGCACCCATGGGAGTTTTAGGTTCCTTACCCCATTCCAGACTCTATGTCTGGGTTTTCCAGGAGGAGCCTGGGCATCTGTATTATAGCAGGTGACTCTGATTGTCAGACACTTCAGGGAAAACCCTACAGCCACTAGAGGGACATGATTCTAATGGTGGAATCAAGCACTTTGCTGGCTGACAGGGTTGGAGAATGTTGTTGAGCAGGCATACCTCCTGGAAGGTTTCATCTGAGGGGCCTCCCTGGGGCTTATGCCCAAAATCAGACTGTACACATGGGATTTATTCCCATGCTTGAGGCCAAAGGAGGGAACTGAAACAAAAATATCTCAAACAAGCTGATGGCAGCCACCACCCCCCACTCTCATTGCCAACCCCACATCCTCTAACCTCTGACTCCCCATACCTCTCTTTACCAACTGCTCTTGCCCTCAAGTGGGGGAGTGGAAAGGGCTGTGACAATATCACTCCGCCCCAAACTGTGATGGTACCATGGTCCCTCAAAAGGCCCCAAGCAAGGGATGCTCTTGCAGGCCAGCATGGTGTCTCACTCACCTTGGGCCTTTCTCCCCAGGTGTGTGGAGCTTACCTGTCAACAGACTGGAGCGAGAGAAATAAGTTTGGAGGCAAACTGAGCTTCTTTGGGACTGGAGAATGCTTTGTATTTAGGGTGAGTGGGTCTCCCTACAGGCACTCTAAAGTCAACAGGCCCAGCACCCCCATCATTCCTGCTCCCGTGACCCTGTTTACTTTTGTTATAGCAGTTACCCTACAGGATAACCTCCCCGTTTTCTTCTGGTTTGTGATCATTAGACAATGAGGTCCATGAAAGCAAGCAGGCCCTTTCCTATCCTATGTGGCACCATTTCCCCAGCCCTGGTATGAGGCCTCATACACAGAGGGCTTCAGTGAAGATTTGTGGGAAGAAAGTGGTCAGAAGGGCCCTGCAGGGCATAGTGTGTCTGCTCTTCATATTGCCCTTTCACCCTCAGTTGCAGCCGGAGGTCCAGCGCTATGAATGGGTGGTCATCAAACATCCAGAGCTGACTAAGCCAGTGTCCTTGGAGACCACTGCCACTCCAACCCTGCTTGGCCACCCCATGTCCTTGTCCTCATCCTCAGAACCTGCTGACCGCCTCTCACCATTCCTGGCCACTCGGCACTTCAACCTGCCCTCCAAGACTGAGTCCATGTTCATGGCTGGGGGCAATGACTGCCTCATCATAGGTGGGCATCTCCCTCCACCTTAGGCTGGTCTCAGCCTGGGAGAAGGGTACAGGGTCATGGGTAACCAAAGCCCCTGGGCCAGCCATTGCTGACCTGGATGGTAGGTACCTCACCTGAAGGATAGGCAGAGCCCCCATGATAGCAGAGGAAGAGAGCAGGCATGAGAAATGGGAGTAGGGACAGGTATTCTGGGTAAACCACTTTAGCCTAGAGTTTGGACCTTGGCTAAGGGCTGGCAGGCTTTGGAGTGTTTAGAGAGGCATCTGGCAGGGCTGGGGCAGGGACAAGTGGAGATGCTCAGGGGCAGGAGGAGAGCACCTCTAGGGCAGTACCAGACAGAGGGGCAGCCACTGACTGAGTATCCTGCAGGTGGAGGGGGCGGCCAGGCTCTCTACATCGACGGGGACCTGAACCGGGGCCGCACAGGCCACTGCGACACTTTCAACAACCAGCCCCTCTGCTCTGAGAACTTCCTCATCGCTGCTGTGGAGGCCTGGGGCTTCCAAGATCCTGACACCCACTGACAGGCCTGTGCTGATGGTGACCGAACTGCTGCTGTGTGTGTGTTGGGGGTTGGGGGGTGGACAGTGGACAGGCCCCCTCTTCAGGAGGAGGCAGTGAATGAAGAGCCCTTCACCACATGCATAGGCAGCATTGGGGTATAGCTGGGGCTTCGATGCTGGGCTAGGCAGGGGTGCCAAGGCCTTAGCTGGCCAGGCCTATTCCTCCTCATGCTGCTAGGACCTGCTCAGACTTGCTACTGCTTCCACCTTGGACTCAGGCCCTGGTTCTCTGTGGGGGCATCCTGTGCCTAAGGCAGGGGTGGGGAACTTTTTTTCTGCCAAGGGCCGTTTGGATATTTATAACATCATTTGTGGGCCATACTAAACTATCAGCTTAAAAATTAGCCTGTTATGCCCTGGCCAATTTGGCTCAGCGGTTAGAGTGTCAGCCTGCGGCCCGGAGAGACCCAGGTTTGGTCCCCGCTAGGGGCACGTACCTCAGAGGCAGCCACTCGATGTGTCCCTTGCACGTCCATGTTTCTCTCTCTCTCTCTTCCTCTCCCTCCCATTCTATCTGAACAAAAAATGGAAAAATGTCCCCGGGTCAGGATAAAAAATAAAAAAAAATTAACCTGTTATATTTGGCCAGACTAATTTGGTGAGGCATGTGATGTATTGATTTTGTAGGCATTATACAGACTTTGAGCCAGATGTTCCCCACCCCTGGCCTAAGGCCTAGGAGGGGCTACATCTTGCAGCCCCTGAGCCTTAATCCCTTGGTGGTGGAGACAGGACAGGAAAGGCAAAAGGAACTGCCACATGTGGGTCTATGGCACCCCCTGCTGGTGCCTCTTTGCATGGCTTCCATGCAGGCTATGCTGCCTCCTGCCTTCCCTGCTGCTGTGGCTCTCCAGAGGTGTGTTGTTGGTCCTGAGGAGAAACAGGTGCCCTGGGGACTTTCTTGACAGGGGTTTCTTACCTAGTTTCCTCCTTCCCATGCTGCTTCCTGGGGCTGCCTCTTGAACAGTTAACCACAAGGTGAAAGAGGTTGGGGAAGGCAGGATGTTATGCTGAGCTCTGAGCTCTTCCCATGGGAGGGCCAAGGGTTAGCGGGATGAAGGGCCAGAATGGACATCATATATTCTTGTGTTTCTTCAGAGCCTGAAGCTTCTGCTGGGCCTTATTGTGTACTCACGCCTGGAGAGGCCTCCCAGGATGGCAATGGGAGGGCCTTCTGACCTCAAACCAGCCAGCTGCATTTTCAGGGGCCTGCCTGAAGAAGCTTGGACCCACGGAGCCTTCTCCAGTCCTCCTCCTTGCCAGCCAGAGCCTTCTTAGCTCTCCTGCAGTCTCTGTGGTGGCCCCATTTCTCCTCCATGTCGCTGCAGTGACCTGGTTCCCAGGATCCCATCCAGACGTTTCTGCGTGTCGTGTTTGTCTCATCCAGCCCTACTCACCTCCACTTCGACGGGCCCCACAAGTCTGTACCAGGTCTGCACCCTATTCCATAACTTCCTATCCACATGACACCTTCAACCCGAGCCCCTCTGCATAGCATGCGTCCTCCCTCTGCATCTCTCTCACAGCATTGTGGTTACTACATAGCATGATTTTCTTGTGCTTCCACCCTTCCCTGCCTTGTTCTGCATGACACTCATGCATAGTAGGTGCCAAGTGAAGATTGGCCAGTGAGTACTGCAGAGAAGAGCTGTCCTGCCCCATGACCTCCCTCAGCTGGTCCTGAGGGCCTGGGCTCCCGGGAGGGAAGAGGGGAGAAGCAGACAGCTAAGTGGCTGTGTTGCAGCAGCCTGGGCTGCAGGTGCCAAGGGTAACTTTACTCCAGCTAGCCCCCTCTGTATCCCTACATACCACACCCCTGCCCATCTGCACACAGTGCTTGCTCTTCCTGTGGGGTGTCCATCTTCCCTCTGTCCACCTACTCAAATCTCCTCTGAGCCAGACCACAGTGAGACTGAAGAAAGGACCAGGAATCCTGTGTGGCTGAGGACAAGCCAGTGAACTTGTTTGGAACTCAGTTTCCCCAACTGTAAAATGGGGCCAGTCTTGCTCTGCTGTCTCCCCAAAACTGTTGAAACGCTATTAGAGGAAAGGTGCTGGGAGGCAATGCCACTGCTTACCCATCACCTCAGATCACTGCAGCCCTCACCACTCCCCCTTCCTCTGAGCCCCTACCTGTATTTTGGTGTTCATTAAACACTGTCTCATTACATAGTCCGAGTTTGGTCTCTTCAACCAGAGGGGCCTCCAGGGTCTCCCCACTCCAGACTTGTCACCAAATGGGACCCAGGAGGCTGCACCCCATAATGCTTGTCAGTGCTTTATCACTGGAATGTTGAAGGTGTTTTAAAAACAGCCTTTCAGCCCTGGGCAGCGTGGCTCAGGGGATAGAGTGTTGGCCAACACACTGAAGGATCATGGGTTCAATTCCAGGTCAAGGATTCGAATCCAGGTTAAGGACATGTACCTGGATTGCAGGTTCTATCTCAGCCCAGTCAGGGCACATGCGAGACGTAATCAATTGATCTCTCTCCCTCCCTCCCTCTCTCTCCCTCCCACTCTATCTGAACAAAAAATGGAAAAATGGCCTCGGATGAGGAAAAAAAAAAAAATCAATGGAAAAAAATATCCTTGGGTGAGGATTAACAAAAAAAAACATAGCCTTCCAGAAGCAGCTTAAGGTATTTTTTAGTACGATTTACATGGCTCCCTCTGCACTTTCTGAACTGGGTGATTATTTTTCTGGTAAGCCCAGAGGATTTTCTGTGGCTGTTCTGAGGGCCCCTGTTGGGCCTTCTCACAGATTCAGCCCAGGGAGGGAAATTGCTACTTAGTCATGATTTCTGTATCATAAGATCCTTGTGTGTACATGCAAAATAGTCAGTTTCTTTGAATTTCTTCTTCCTAAATTTTTGCTAAACTAAAAGGTATGTGTGACTATTATCTTTATTTTTCTTATTATTGTCCTTACATATTAGGTGTTCCCAAATAGCACATAATTTATTTTTTTAATATTCTCTATTATTTTTTCTTGATTATTTATTACTAGCTTTTGATGTTAAAAATTAGCCAGAGTTGCCCTGGCCGGTGTTCTCAGTGGTTAGAGCATTGGCCAGAGCACCAAAGGGTCTCAGGTACAATTCTCGTCAAGGGCATGTACCTGGACTATAGGTTCGATCTCCGGCCCCAGTCATGGCATGTGCTAGTGGCAACCAATCAATGTATCTTTCTCACATTGGTGTCTCTCTCTCTCTCTGCCCCTCCCTCCCTTCCACTCTCTCTAAAAATCAATGAAAAAAATATCCTCAGGTGAGGATTAACAAGAAAAAACTTAGCCAAAGTTTAACGAAATTGCATAATGAATTATTTGTTTTTCTAGAAATGTTTAAAAGTTTTTAAATTTCTTTTTCCTTTATTGATTTTAGAGAAAGGAAGTGAGAGGGAAAGAGAGAGAAACATTGATGAGAGAGAACATCGATTGGCTGCTTCCTGCATGCCTCCACTGGGGATCAGGCCCACAATCTGGGCATGTGTCCTGACCAGAAATCGAACCAGCAACCTCTTGGTGCATTGGTTGACGCTCAGCCACTGAGCTACGCTAGCCGGACTAAAAGATTTTTCTAAAAAAAACAAAAATTCAGCCCTGGTCGGATTGGCTCAGCAGTAGAGTGTCGGCCCGCAGACCAGTGAGTCTCAGGTTTGATTCTGGCCAAGGGCACGTACCTTGATTGCAGTTCATCCCTGGCCCTGGTCTGGGTTAAGCAGGAGGCAACCGGTCCATGTGTCCCTCTCACTTTGATGTTTCCTCTCTCCCTCTCACTCTGTCTGAAGATAAATAGAAAAAAAAATATCTTCGCCCTGGCCTTTTTCACTCAGTGGTTAGAGCATTGACCTATGGACCAGGGAGTCCTGGGTTTGATTCTGGCCACGTGCACATACCTTGGTTGCAGTTCGACCCCGGCCCCAGTTGGGGTCGTGCAGGTGCCAACCAATCAATGTGTCCCTCTCACATGGATGTTTCTCTCTCTCTCTCTCTTCATCCCTCCCTCCTTACTGCTCTATCTGAAGATAAATGGAAAAATATCCTCAGCTGAGGATTTTTCAAAAGAGAAAGAAAGAAAAAAAATATCCTTCGGTGAGGATTAACAACAACAACAAAAAATGAGTATAGTTTAAACCACTTCATTCAGTGATTCATTAAAATATGCTATGCCTTTAGGGTTTCAGAAAATCAGTTTTCAAAAATAAATTTTTTCTATAAGAATAAGCCGTTTTAGCCCTGGCTGGTTTGGCTCAGTAATTAATTAGAGTGTCAGCCCATGGACAAAAGTGTTGAGGGTTCATTCCCGGTCAAGGGCACATACCTGGGTTGCAGGTTCAATCCCCAGCCCAGTTGGGGTCATGCAGGAGGCAACCAATTGATGTGTCTCTCTCACATCAATTTTTCTCTCCCACTCTCTCTAAAAATAAAAAAATAAGCCATTTTATTTTTTAGAGTTTTAATTATTAAATTAAAATTAGTATTTTTTTTTTTCTATATAAACTACATGCTTGCCCTGGCCAGTTTTGCTCAGCGGTTAGAGCATCGGCCTGTGGACTGGAGAGACCCGGGTTCGGTTCTCGCTAAGGGCATGTACCTCGGTTGCAGTTTGTCCCCGGCCCTGTTTGGGTCGTGCGGGTGGCAACCACTTGATATGTCCCTTTCACTTCGATGTTTCTCTCTCTCACTTTTCCTCTCTTTCCCTCCCACTCTATCTGAACAAAAAACAAAAAAATGTCCTTGGATGAGGATAAAAAAAATAAATAAACTACATGCTTTCTTTTTTTAATTTTTCAGGAGAATTTGTTTTAGAAACTTTTATTTTATTTTTTTATTTTTTTTATCCTCACCCGAGGATATTTTTCCATTTTTTGTACAGATAGAGTGGGAGGGAGAGAGAGGAAGGGAGAGAGAGTGAGAAACATCGACGTGAAGGGACACATCGAGTGGCTGCCACCCGCACGACCAACCAGAGCCGGGGACAAACTGCAGCCGAAGTACGTCGTGCCCTTAGCAGGAACCGAACCCGGGTCTCTCTGGACCGCAGGCCGACGCTCTAACCACTGAGCCAAACTGGCCAGGGCTGTTTTAGAAACTTTTAGAAGATTTCAAAAGACCTTCAGATTTCTCTTATCCATTTTCATGAGGCCATAAAGTATTAGTTTCCTTAACTATTTTAAAACAGCCTGAGAAGGCCTTGCTTTTTTTTTTTTTTTGGTACATGCCCCTAGCGGGAACTGAACCCAGAACTCTCTGGTCTGTAGGCCGATGCTCCAACCGCTGAGCCAAATTGGCCAGGGCTCCTTAACTATTTTAACATTTTATTTTGAAATAATTTTAGATTTACAGAAAAGTTGCATGGTGTTACAAAGTTTCATACATTCTTTCCCCAGCTCCCGCCAGTGTTAATGTCATACATTTATCAAAACAAAGAAATTAATTTTTGTATAATGCTATTAACTTAAACTATAGCCTTTTTTCCCTGAGTTTTTCTGGAGTCCTTTTTCTGTTCCAGGAATAGATTGGTTTTTTAGAGATATCTACTTTCCCATTTTGTTTTTGTTAATCCTCACCTGAGGATATTTTTCCATTGTTTTTTTTTTTTTTTTTTAGATAGAATGGAAGGGAGGGAGGGAGGGAGAGATAGAGAAAGAAAAAGAGACATCAGTGTGAGAAAAACACATTCATTGGTTGCTTCCCACACGACCCAGACTGGTGCTGGCCCGACTAGGGCCCAGGAATTAAACCTGCCAGCCAAGTACGTGCCCTTGACCAGGAATCGATCCTGAGACCCATCAGTCTTGGGGCCAACACTCTAACTACTGAGCCAAACCAGTCAGGGCTACTGTCACACATTTTTACTAAATCCAGACTGTCATCAGATTCACAAGACTAACAGTGATTTTTTTAAAAAGTTCTGCCCAGCCGGTGTGGCTCAGTGGTTGAGCTTGGACCCATGGACCAAGAGGTTAAAGGTTCAATTCTCAGTCAGGGCACATGCCCAGTTGCAAGCTGATCCCCAGTAGGAGGTGTGCAGGAGGCAGCCAATTGATATTTCTATCTCTCTCTCCCTCCCTGCCAACTCTTGGCCTGCCTGCCTGCTGGGGGTCATCGCAACACAATGAACTACAAGGAGATAACTGCTTGGAGTGAGGGGGAGCATTGCAAGGGAGCAAATGCTTTAGATCTCTGGATGTAGCCCAATTTATTTGCAAAGTGGTTCCCTAGGTTACATGGTGTTTTAGGTAATTAAGTCCACTCTTGGGCGATAAGCCCATTGGCGCTATCAGGGTGGCTTGCCAAACCCAATATGCATACCTATCTATTCACGAGTATACTATACATTTATCAGGGCTGGGGGTTGATCGATCCTTCTAGGGCAGCTTTCGAGCCCAACAGCATACCTTATCTATTCACATGTATAGTTTGATCCTTGGCTGGCCAGGCCAGGAGAATGCATACCTCAAGGTTACATTTTGTTCATCCACCAAACTCCCAACCCTAAACCTCCCCCTTCCTCTCTCTCTAGAAAATAAAATAAAATGCTACTAATTAGGTAGTACAGTTACTGTTTCAAACATGTATTCATATATTCTGTTTTCATCTTTGCCTAAACATTGTGTTTTTTTTCTGCCTAAATGTCTTGTTTGCACAGAGAAATTACCAAATGGCACAGGAGTACAAAGCATACCTCATGGAGCTTCCCATGACAACACTATGGCAGAAAAGTATGGGGATTGATTGATTGATTGATTATTTTGTTGTTGTTAATCCTCATCCAAGGATATTTTTTTTTTTTCATTGCTTTTTAGGGAGAGTGGAAAGGAGGGAGGGAGGGAGAGAGAGAAACATCTGTGTAAGTCACATCAATTGGTTACCTCTGTCACACGGGCTGTCATGTAGATGTGCTCCATAAATAAGAAGGAGAGGAGGGAGCAGCCAAATGTCTCAAGTTAAGAATTGCTTGGATTTCTGTCATGTGGAAAATTCAGTATGAAAAAGTCATGCTCCTCTAAATGAGAATATTTTATCTGGAAGGTTATATGAGTCAATATTAATGTCCTTTCTAATACCTAGGATTTTAATTATATAGGTAATTGTGTGTACCTATATAATGTAAAGGAAA